TATATATATATATATAAGGCTGGCGAGTATTTTGTTTGTAAATATTTGTAGACATACATATTTGTATATTGTGTGTGTGTGTGTGTGTGTGTGTGGTTTTTATTTTTATTTTTTTAATTCTGTGGTAAATGACATTAAGGCCAGACACTACAGGCAAATCCATTGTTTTTACATGCACTGGGCAATTTAAACATTTTAATTCCATAACCTGTCTTCTTTAAGACTAATGGAATGAAAACATCTAAAATACACTTTAAAGAGTTTATCTAGAGTTATCTTGGAAGGTGTTTTTTTTTATGCACTGAGCCAGATATATCAACTTGTGCATTATTTATACAAACCATACTTTCCAGATTTATTCCTATCAATATTTTGAAGTTTTTCTTATTTTTATTTTTTTTATTGAGGGAGTTTGTCCATTTGTCCATTTATCTTTCACCCAGTAGTACATGGTGGAAATGTTTTTTTTTTTTGTTTTGTTTTTTTGCACGTTTATTTATTGCAGTTGTCAATTTCTGATTGATGAAGAGAAATCCAAAATCCCCTCTTTTAAAAACCTTAAAATGTCAACAAAATTAAACAAGAATTTTTACATTTTGAACCTGGCTTAATCCAGTGTTCAGTTTTCTGATTTGAAAATATATGTAAATTAGAGCATATATACTTGGATAATGTTATATCTGAATATTTAAACAACAGTTTAGAGAAAAAAATGCCTTGATGTACTGTGATTGATTATCTGAAGAAATATGGTGATATAATTTTTACCTTATGCACCTGTAGTGTCTTGCCTTAATTCATTTAATCCCACTGGTCAGAATAGTGACCATAAAGAAGGTTTTAATTTATAAAGCTCTAAAAATGTTAGTGACTGGTGTTTTAGTGCATTTCCTGCAAATATGGAAAAAATAAAGGGTCTCAATTAAATATGTGCAGTTTCACGTGTTTAGTGCAAGTTGTCACATGACCAGAGCCGTTTATTTCCTGTTTGCACCTTGAGAAGATGATAACTGCATCAAAGCTCCAAAACAAAAGGCTAGTAACATAAAGATATATGACAAAGATTTTTGGTACACGTCAGGGGCGTAGATTACGCGGGGGATGTGTCCCCCTCACTTTTAATATCACGTAAATTCGTCCCCCGCACTTTTTCCGGCAAGTGTGTTCGCATAGAGGTTTTCAAGAGCCGGTGTGAATAAATATAGATTTTCCCCCTCACTTCTGAAATGATGGCTACGCCCCTGGTACACGTTATCTTTAAGGTGTCTAGTATTAATATATATGAATTCACATATATTCAGTTTTGTTGAGTATGGTCATAGAATGAGTAAACATGTTGATGGTCACAATAGTGACCGGTGGGATATTTTAGGTATACATATAAATCCAATTGCAGCTGTTAGTGAAGGTTTCTCTAAAATGTTGCAATGGCAAAGTTATAGTGAATACTGCACTAAATTCAAATTGTAAATGTTATAAATTAAATTACTATATTGATGATGTAATACTGGTTGCACTTATATAACAATATTGTGATGTTACATTAATAAAGTAACAATTTTGAAATACGTTGATGGTTGTATTTTTTGTCTTTTTTTTTCTCAGTATTCCTATCAGTGTTGTATAAGGGGTTTTATGCGTAATAGTAACCCTAGAATCTGATCAAACATAGTTTAAAGTAGCTAGGCTGAGATATACACAAATTTTGATGACCTCAGAAATATGTTAATTCAGTATACACATTATACCACAATTTTGCACACACTTTTCCATATTTGATTATTGCAAAGGGTTACTAATGACACATCATTTGGATATTTTCATGTCTGGGAAAAATTTGGGATTAAACAGGTCAATTTTATTTTAAATGACTATGTATAATAAAGACAAAACATTCTTTGCTGGAATCTGGGACTTTATCATAAATTGCATTTTTGAGTTATTATTAGAAATACATCAAATCTCAACCTTTAGCATTTCAGGATTCAGATTTTGAGCTTTAATCAAGATATGAATACAGCACCTAACCAACATTTTTTTAAAGCTTTTTAATTAATGTATTTCTATTAGATAAATAGTAACTCAACACTAGATGGCGCTTGTAGTACGGTTTGCACACTGCTTGTAGCACACAAACACACTATAGATTATATCGGTGGCACACCGTTCGAGATGCTGTCGTTATTATAGAATATTAGGAGTGTTATTACATTTTGTTATCAGTTATGATAGTGTAGTGTTACTACAGCAAAACCGCTAATGTGGTGCAGTGGCTATCAGGTTTACAGAGATCAACCCCCAACCAGAGAATCACTGACATTTCGAAACTGTTGTGACTTGGTTAAGCCTTGTTTATTGAAAACGTGACTTTGGAAGTTTGATACATGCTCTA